GACAATCCACCCCCATTCGAATCACGAACCTCTAGCCGCATCTCTCAAGAGGTTTAAAAAAATCATTTATTAGGAGTGACCATGTCCGTGTTACCTAGGTGCAGCCGACTCTGAGACCCATCCTTCATTTTCCCCCTTGACCCTGGTCTCCCCCCCCCCCCACCCCCCCCCCTGGACATATATTCTCCAATGGGACCCATCCATAGGCCAGAGTCATCAATCGTCCTCTCCAGTAATAATCTTGCGGGCCAACAGCTTCAGCCACTTAGCCGTTATCCATGAGCATTTGAGGAAGGCACCGCTTTCCTCACTCCCTTTCTGCGGACAACTCTGAGAGACCAGAGGAATATTTTTGAGTGGACCCTCTCTTTCTCTCTCTCCTCTTTCTCTTTTTCTCTTCTCTTCTCTTCCTCTTTCTTTCTTCTTCTCTCCTATCTCTCTCTCTCTCTCACACACACACACACACCACAATCGTGACTGGACTTTGGACACTTGGCAACACGGCTCCATTTATGACCAAGGCTCCCATAGCCACAGGGGGGAATTTTGATGACGGTTTTTGCCAAGCGCAGGGACGCCTGTTTTTTTTACTCCCATCCTGAGTTATGAAAGGGGGGGGGGGGGGGGGAGGTCGAGAGCCAAGGACGCGCCCGGTGCCTGTTTTCACTTTGGTTTTCCTTTTCGTTCTTTTTCTACCTGCCTGGTCTGTCTCCAGGCAGCCGTTTTAAAATAGAGGTAGTCCTTGACTTACAGCAGTTCATTTAGTGACCGTTCCAAGTTACAACGGCACTGGGGGAAAAAAGTCACCCACAACCCTTTTTCACACTTAACGGCCATTGCAGCATTTCCCCTGGTTGCGTGATCAAAATTCAGGCGCTTGGCAACTGGTTCATACTTACAGCGGTCGCCGTGGCCCCGGGGGGGGGGGGGGGGGGGGGGGGGATTGTCATGTGATCCCCTGTTGTGACCTTCTGACAACGTGGGGAAACCAGATTCACTTAGCAACCATGTGACTCACTTAACAACTGCGGCTGGAAAGGTGGTAAAATGGGACAAATCTCACTTGACAAATGTCTCACAGCCACATAAATTTGGGGCTCCATCGTGATCGTAAGTCAAGGACTCCCCATAGAAGCCTTTGATAGCCTAGGGCAGGGGTCCCCAAACTTGGCAGACTTTAAGACTGGTGGCCCTCAATTCCCAGAATTCTCCAGCCAGCAGAGCTGGAATTCTGGGAGTTGAAGTCCACCAGTCTTAAAAGTTTGCCAAGTTCAGGCAACAATTCTAAGCCGTCGCTTAATAGGACAAACCGGCAGGATTTAAGGGAGTGGGTGAAGGAAGGAAAATGGGAAGAAGGAAGGAAGATAAGGAAGGAAAGGAAGGGGGAAGGAAGGAAAATGGGAA